TCACGTGAAGGAAAAACGTGACGTTTTCGCCAAGTTGCTTCGTTATGTTTTGTGTCCAGTAGGCTTGCAACACTGGAGGAGCTGCAGAAGAGAGAGAGAGGTTGCTGATGTTCAAGGCCAGGCCGTCGTCGGACACCCGCAGTTTCCCAGTGCTGGTGTCGATCGGTATGCCCCAATGCAGCCAGGTGATGTTGGGAGGCGGATAGGGGGTGTTGAGCAGCGGCACTCGCAACTGCACAGTCTCCCCGACGGCCCGGTTCTCGAGTACGTCTAATAGCGTAACATTGGGGCCAGCTGAAGACAGACATCGAGACAGCAATAAACCCTCCGTTTCTATTGGTAGGAGATATGAACGCAAAGCACACCTCATGGCTGCCCACTGATATCACTGATAGAGCTGGCGACCTGCTGAGCTACCTACTGGACACTGCAGGATTAAACCAGCACGTGTCTTTTCCGACCTGTATTTCCAGAGGCAACTTGAAGTCCTGCCTCGACGTTGTCCTCTCCAACGTACCAGAAGAAGACCTATCTGTCACATCGAACCCCCCTGTCGGAGCGTCAGATCATGTACTCGTCGGAGGACATGTGTCCCTTGCATGCCCACCACAAGCACCAGCACCCCAGCAAAACATCGAAGCTTGGCGCTGGAACTGGGAGCCTGATCGCGTCGTCGCACTGAAAGAAGCCCTGAGCTCAATGCAGCTTTTGCCACCAGCTGAGGAAATCCCGCAGTTATCAATGACAGACCTCTGGTCGCATTGGCATGACTCGCTTATCAACACAGCATACTTGTACTGTACTAACTTCGCACCACGACGTACACACCAGACATGCCCAGGTCGGCGACCATGGATGGCTCAACAGCTTCTTTGCAGCATTAAACTCAAGCATCAGCTCTACCGTCAATATCTCAGAACTCGCAGCGCCGAGAACTGGCTCATATCCGTTACTCAACGCAATAGGACCACAACACAACTGAGAGAAGCTAAATCCGCCTTCGTATCCACTACTGCGCAAGGCGACGTAACTGGTGTCCCGCAGCGAAACCTCTACAAGTTGATGAAATCACTGCGGTCGTCCCCGAAAAAGGAGCTTTCACCTATTTCAGAAAACGAAACAGTGGCTAGATCAGATGGAGAAAAGGCGGAAGCGTTTAACAATTTTTTCATTTCGGAAAGCCAGAAGTCCGTCTCTGGACCAACTGAAGCCGTGCCAGAGATTGGCGTGTCGTGCATCATCGGAAGCGAACTGAAGGAAATCATCACCACCCAGGAGGAAGTCAGAAAACTCCTTTCCGCTCTTGATTTCCGGAAGTCGGCTGGGTACGGTGGCATCCCGACGAAATTGCTCAAGATCACTGCAGACGAAATGTCCTGCTCCCTCGCAAAACTTTTCAATGTGTCCTTCTCGCGAGGCGAGCAGCCACAGGACTGGCGCGACACCACTACAGGTCGTCCCCCGTTAATACGAGTCCGGTTAGTACATATATCCCGTTAGTACATAAGAAATCTCAAGTCCCGGACGAAACGTGGTCACTTCCACACAAATTTTGTCGGTTAGTACATAATTCGTTAGTACATAAACCCCGTTAGCACATAACATTTCTCCGTACCCGCATGCCACCTACCTCAATAGTACATAATTTGTTGGTCTTTCGGCCTTCCAGTGGAGGCACATCGTGTTCTAGTTTCTACTTGTGGACGCAATTAGCTCAGAAATCAGAGCGCACATCACAAACTGACAAAGCACTGTTTTTTTCCGAGTGACTGTACAGGCGCGGCTGGGCATGTATCATGTAAACTGTAGAATCTTCGCTGACTGTGACCGTTATAACATAATTTTTATGTTATATCGAGGGAATCAAGAATATCTCGCTCCCTAGTCATGGCAGCAAGAAACACTCAGAAAAGTTGAAAAAAGTGAAAAATTCTAGTATAGAAGCAAGTTATGTACACTTTCGTTTAGTACATAAACCCCGTTAATACATAACATTTGTCAAGTCCCAGAGGTTATGTATTAACGAGGGACGACCTGTATTTTGTATTTTGTATTTTATTATACAGTTTCCTCTGAGACAAAAATGCGATAATACTCATAAAAAGGACACACTTCAGGCTCATTACAAACATCTTGAAAGTTTTTGTCTTCACAAGTATACTTTCAAGCCTTCTCATCAGGTGAAATACAGGCAAGAGAAAAGGAACAGGAACAGTGGATTAAATACAGTAAGAAGGTGGTATGAGTATTATTTTATTATATTTAAGGATTTCCCAAAGGCTTTGGGCCTGTCGAGGGGATCTCCTGCAAGAAGAATGAAATGACAACTTTATGTAGAGGGAGCAGTTAATCGAGGATAGGCTAAGGAAATAGATCGAGGCATACAAAATCTGGTAATTAAGGAGTTGGGATACCGTCAGTGTAATGAATATATCGGCGAAAATGCTGATAGAGAGAATGCTTGAATTCGGGGAGGCTGGTTATTTAGGTATGGCAGCCTTGCCCTCTCCAACACCACACAGCAACAGCGGGACACACTGGAGAGAATTCAACGCCGTGCTATACGCATCTGCCTTCGGATTCCCCTCTTTGCACCAGTTCACCACAGTTCCCTCCTCCATCATGCAAAGCTCCCCACCCTTAGCTCACGGCTCCTTGTTAAACAAGTCCTACTAGCATGGGACATCCACCACCAAACTTCCCCACCACACCTGCAACAACCACATCTTGCACCACAACATCAACACCAACAAGACTACCCGAAATAAAACTTGGCCAAACCCTATTAGAAACAGTAACACAACATCGTCACCTCGGCATCATCTTTCAGCACGACCTAAGATGGTCAGCCCACCTTGACTTTGTGCTGAAGAAAGCCGTAAAATCTTTTAATATTCTCTTTAGGCTCAAATCAACTCTACACACTAAATCACTCTCTCTCATTTACAAAACGTATATCCTGCCTATAATTGAATATGCATGCATTGCTGTCACCCCGCTCTCAATCGCAGCCCTTGACCGTCTTGAGCGAATCCAGCGCAAGGCGGCCAGAATCTGCCTCCGTCTCCCCCTTTACACTCCTCTGGATCATTCAACACTGCTCCATCGGCTCAAATGGCCGACAATGTTCTCTCGCCGCAAAGTGAAGCTCACCCTTCTTGCTCACTCCATAAAATACCAATATGCCCCACAACACATACGCTTGCTCAACACCCCCGCTCAAGTTACGGCCCAGTACAGCCTTCGACACGCACGCACTTGGCACCTCCCACCCTCCAGAACCGATCGCTGTAAAGACTCCCCACTGTACAAGTCCCTAGAATACTACAATGCCCTCCCTGCTAGCATTCGTGACGTCTCCTCCCGACCTGCTTTCAAACAAGAACTCTGCTCACTGCTGATTAACTCAATCTGCTCCTGCAGCGCTCACCCTCTCCCATACTTGTAAAGTTCAAAGTGATGTAAATCACTTTCCAACTGTTTAACCCACAATCTCACCTTCTCATCAATTTATCTCTTATTGGCGATGGTGCCATCGTGAGAATAAAGAATTCAAACAATACACCCTTCGACAGACAAGGACCTACTCCATCGGACACGCACAAACAAACAGGCACCGAGATTCCCCCATCAACAGTACCCTCACCCTCTACAACTCACTCCCTATCGACATCACAACCCAACCTCGTAGAAATTCTTTCCGAAACAATGCATCCAGTCTCCTTTTGAGCAGTACCTTTTTCTGCTCCGCGCATCCCCCTGGTTTCTGATATCTCGAACGTGTACTTAACTATCTCGATCACCCCTGCTAACGTTATTGCCCCAGCTTGTTTTTAATGATCCATTGCTTCTTGCCTCCCCGGTTATTTCCCATCTAGCTGTTTCTGGCTAGTGCCAGTTCTATCCCACTTATCAATCATCCTTATTGGCGTCACGCCATCGTGGAATAAAAGAATAATAATAATAATAATAATAATTTGAAACTCGGGTATTGAGCCAATAATAAAAGTAGAAAGGAAAAGGACATATGGAAACGAGTTAAGAGTAACTCTCCACCACTGTAACTAGATACTATATACAGTCAGAAAGTGCAACAACTAGGCACAAAACTGACAGAGTACTGAGACATTCGACGTCCTGACACCTGGCTTCAACACATCTCTGTAGCGCTAACCGACAGCCTTCCAACTTGGAAGGTTCAAGGTTATGGAAAGACCAAAGAGGGGAAGGCAAGCGCAACAAAAACGAGCACAAGCTACAGTCCCAACGGAACAAAGAATGTCGATTGTCACTGGACGATGACGAGACCAGTAAGCTTCGAATTGTAGTTAGACCGCTTTGTCAAATCGCCTACTGGTCTCGTCATCGTCCAGTGACAATCGACATTCTTTGTTCCGTTGGGACTGTAGCTTGTGCTCGTTTTCGTTGCGCTTGCCTTCCCCTCTTTGGTCTTTCCATAACCTTGAACCTTCCAAGTTGGAAGGCTGTCGGTTAGCGCTACGGAGATGTGTTGAAGCTAGGTGTCAGGACGTCGAATGTCTCAGTACTCTGTCAGTTTTGTGCCTAGTTGTTGCACTTTCTGACTGTATATAGTATCTAGTTACAGTGGTGGAGAGTTACTCTTAACTCGTGTCCTTTTCCTTTCTACTACTACTAATAATAATAATAATAAAAATCTCATTTGCACAGACAGACAGTCAATTTCCAGTTTGCACCTTTCCTTCAACCTATTGAATGTTGGATCATCGGGACATTTTATTATCTAGCAAACGTTTCCCACTTCCCGGTACAAAGAACTCGTCCACATTCACAAGTTGTAATATAACCACTTCAGAGCACTGTGCAACACATAGCATAGACCAGGACGGTCACCGGCCGTGTGATTGAAATTTACTCTCCGGCGAAAGTTTCTCACTTCACGGTAAGAACCCGTCCACATACACAAGTTGTAATATAACCACTTTAGAGCATAGTTCACACTGCACACCACACGTACATACCGTATGCCAGGACGGTCACCGTCCGTGTGACTGGTGATGGGAAACACAGCTGCGTTCTGCTGAGATCACCTGGCACGTTACACATAATAGTGCTGAATGCGGTACATGTGTACGTCCCCGCCGCATAGCCCTGGGCCTGCTGATCATCGATCTGTATCGTCTTGACGCCGGACGTCAGTGGTGTGACCGGGAAGGCTCCCGCGTTTAGCCAGCCTAGGCCACTTCCTGGTGACCCTGGTGGGGGCGTGGTTGGAGGCCCTCCAGGCCTTTGCCAGCCTATGGAAAACTGCTCGCCTCGCGCAAAGCATGTCAAGTCGAGAGAAGTCCTCGTCTGATTCTTGGTTACGTTCAAAATCCGCGGTGCCTCTAAAAACAAAGACCAAGAAAAGACGAACTCGATTGGTGAGCCCATGTAATCGTGGATAAAGGGAAGGACAACATTATACGAGTTACATATACTGTATGTGCTCACCAAAGACTTAAGTACTAGTAACCAGATTATAACTATACCGTCAATGAGTGCGACAACAAGACACAAACCTGACAGGGGGTACAACCTGATACCTCGCCCCAACACATCTACACCCTCCCGCAATTTTAGATTTCCAAGTGACTGGATAACAAATGCCTGATTTCAGAAATTGAATGCACAAAGTTATCACACATTTTTGTGGTGTAGCTGCTGGGCTAATGCTGGGCTGATGGTTTTTTGAAACCAGAGGTCTGAACTTTTGAAATAGACTGTAATATACTGTAATAGGGCTAAAGCCTGGTTTGAGCCCTGCCCGTGACCTTCAAATTATTCTGCATCACAGGCTCAATCGAACGTGAGCTGAATGGATTCTAGCTTGAAATACTTGTGACAAAGTGCAAAGGAGGAAACAAGTGCCTTGAAGGCACACAAACACCAAGGTCAGGGGCGCCGGAAGGTATTTTAGTGTGGCCCGGTCAGCCATCTGAAGTACAATTTACTCATGGGGGAGTGGTGGCTGAGCCGAAAATTTTGGAACTATAGACCCCAGATCAGTGTATTTTATTGATTCACGGGGTACCTGGGGCAAAAGTGGTACAGTCAATACCGTAGTGACCGCACCGTGTCCGGCGCCACTGAAGGTCCTAACTCACCTAGGGCTACAGGTCATGGCACCCAGGCTCTGAACTCGTTTGTTGGGCATTGAAAAAGACGTATATAACTGCTTCGGCTGCCATCGCTATGTGCATCTCTGTGCGTTTTTGCCGCCATTTGCACCATGATGGTTTGTGGTTATCTTGTAAAAAATAAAATAAAC